CTCTAGTTCAAGAAGGGACAATGATAGATTATCGGGAGAGGTTTCAGTACATTTCTAGCCAATTGGGGAGGCTATCCGAGACAGTTTTGGATAGAGGTGTAAAAATGAGTCAACGGGTCGGGTTTGAGTCCAACCTGGCCTGAATCGGGTCCAAACAGGTCAACACGAACCCGACCCGTTTTTGCAAACGGGTCAGATTTCCCAACCCGGACCCAACCCATGCAGGTTATCGGGTTGACCCGACCCGAGAAACCTCTTGTAAACGCCTGTGTGAGTGCGGCTCAACGATATCGCGAGGCTTGCTGGGACGCATACGGGAGGAGCGGGAGTGCGGGACGCCTGTGCAAGTGTGACCCAAATGATCAAATCCTTGGGGAGGAAGACAAAGGAGGAGCCCAATCCATCCTTCCTCTACATCAACCCTATCTTCTTCTCTTAGCAGCGGCGGCAACGGAGGAGGCTCAACTGAGACCGACGGAGTGGAGGAAGGAGGAATGGGCGACGAAGCTATGGCTGGGAGACGATGCTTACTACAGGCGAGAAGTGTGGGATAGGGGCTATCAGCAGACGACTGGGAGTGGATGCTTACTACCGCCGGTGGAATTTGACTCTGGTATCACCGTTGCTGCTTTGGTCTCGTGGACCCACTCCTTGAATTTGAACCATGGAGCACGGAGGCAAAGATGGCGAACTGGTGAAGGTGAAGCCTTCTAAGGTTTCAAGTCAAATCGGGTCAAAGTCGGGTTAGCGGGTTGACCCAGACCCAACCCGATTTTTCATACGGGTCAAAAAACTGCAACTCAAACCCGACCCACCTAAACCCAAATTTTTTTGGTCGGGTTATTGGGTTGTGTCAATAATTAACACCCCTAGTTTTGGAGGGAAATTTTATGAAGGGACTCAAGCCAAAAAGTAGGGCTGCTATTCGGTTATTGAGACCACGAGGGTTGGGGGAGGCAATGGAGCTAGCCCAGTTAGTCTAGGACAAAAACTCACTTGAGAGAAGCAGCAATATCAGCAGTTTGGGAGCTTCATACAGGATAACGACCACTTTTTTGGCACCAAAGGTACAACATGTGCCCATTCAGAAAAAAGTACCCAAGGATATGGGATTGGGAGCACGGTCAGGGTGAAATTTCAAGCGGCTAACTGAGGCAGATGTTCAAGAGAAGCGGGCTAGGGGATTGTGTTTCCATTGTGATGAGAAGTTTGCACCGAACCACCAATGCAAGGAGCGTTCGCTGCAGGTATTTACAGTTTGTGATGAGGAGGAGGTGGTTGAGTAGTATTTGCACCTAGATGTGTCGGAGATCTCCCTAAACTCAGTGGTAGTGTTTACCTCAAATCAGACTATGAAGATGATGGGGCATATAGGAGGAGAATCAGTGGTAGTTCTGGTGGACATTGGGGCAACCCACAACTTTATCTCTAACCAGGTTGTGGATCGATTGGAGTTGAGGCTAGTCAACACGGGCTATTTTTGGGTGAGCATGGGAACGAGGAAGATGGAGAAGAGTAGAGGCATTTTCCAAGATTAATGGTGACATTGTAGGAGATCCAGGTGAATGAAGATTTTCTTCCCTTGGAGTTAGGGTGCACAGCATGAAGTAGCTGCAGACATTGGGGGAAACCAAGGTGAACTGGAAATCATTGATTATGGAATTCATGATGGGAGGGAGGAAGGTGAGGATCGGGGGATACTAGTCTATCCAAAATTAGGGTTTCTCCTAAAACCATGGTGAGGGCAATTCAGGGAGCAGGGATGGGATTCTTGGTGGAGCTCCAAAGCCTCGAGCGAGGGGGAAGCATGGAGAGAGATGGGGAAGTTTAAAAAACAGTCCAACCACTCATGCAACAATTCAATGAGGTGTTTCAATTGTCTCAGGGCCTACCTCCCCCAAGGGAGCATGAGCATGCCATCATCTTAAAGGATGGGGTATCATTAAAGAGTGTTCGACCCTAACAATACCCACAGGTTCCAAAGGATGAAATTGAGACTAATCAAGGAGATGTTGGAGGCCCAGATCATTCGTCTCAGTGTTAGTCCCTTCTCCAGTCCTATGTTGTTAGCAATGAAGAAAGATGATAGTTGGAGATTTTGTGTAGATTATCAGACTCTGAATAAGAAAACGGTGTTGGATAAATTTTATATACCAGTTAATGATGAGTTGTTGAATGAGTTATATGGAGCAGTGATATTCTCCTAGATTGATCTAAAATCATAATACCATCAGATCAAAACGCGGCCTGCTGACATCCACAAGGTTGCTTCAAGACCAATAAAGGTCATTATGAGTTTTTTGTAATGCCTTTTGTGCTTACCAATATCCTAGCTACCTTTCAAATGCTTATGAATAATGTATTTCAGCCCTACCTCTGCAAGTTTGATTTGGTTTTCTTCGATGACATTTTGGTGTATAATCAATCAGAGGCAAAGCATGTGGAGTGCATTGGCGCAGTAGCATATCGCCTACGATTTCCACCGACCTCTGCCATCCATCCCGTATTTCATGTATCGCAATTGAGACGAGCCATTGGTTAGAGGCAAAGCATGTGGAGCGCATTCGCCCACACTACCGGCCATACTGTCAAAGGATATGGAGATAATATTATAACCACTGGAGGTGAAAGGGAGGCTCCAAGGAGCAAGATCAAGGAGGTATTGATCAAGTGGAAGGATTTACTAAAGTATGAGATAACATAAGAGCCCTACAGTACCATCTAGAAGTGATTCCCCTCTTTCTTGAGGACAATGTGACTTTTTGGGAGGGAAATATTGATATGGGGCCCAAAAACTTTTCAGCAGATCAAGAACCTTTTAGATCTCCTATGGGGCCCAGTACCTCCTTTATCACCTATAGGAAAAGAGGCTTTGGGGGGGTATCTTTGGGAAAGATGTGAGGGGCATTTATTCAGAGATTTGGGGTGATTTGAAATTAAAATGAGGAGGGAAGTAGGAAAGATTATATGAGGATTAATAAAGTTATTTTATTTTATCATGTTAAGTGTGTTTGCTGAAGTTTTCTTTGGAGTTGTTCCTAATGGCGCCTAGGATTTGTGGAGAGCCGATCGACCTCTCGAATAGTAGATGAACTTGTATCTTGATTTGTTGTGTTGAAATAAACTTCTTTCTCGTTGATTTTTGTTGTGTTTTATCTTGTTCTTGTTGTTTTTGTTGTCTGGAGGATAAATTCATATATCATCCCTCTTCAATCGACCATGCCACTTATCAAAAAGCTGCATAAGTTAGCTATATTCTAAGATTGTACTATGCAGCTTTGATTAGGTTGATTTCCTTGTTAGTCTGCTTAATGTTGACAAGGCAAGCAACAAAACAAATTGTTGGAAGCCTCATGAATGGTCCATTCTCCGACTCTCCACATGGCACCAAAAGACACAATAGGTGATGATTTGCCCTACATAAATTGCCACTAATGAAGTGATTGACTCCTTTTAATTTTTTTCCTAAATGGAGCTTCTCCTAATTTCAAAACAGAAGAAAATTGATGAAATTTTGTTTTGATTTAACATATTTGAATTAAATGTAATAGAATAAGTCATTATTATTCTACTATTTCACAGCTAGTAAAAGATTGAGAAAAAAATCAGTAAATTACCCATATTTATAACATATATAAAAATCAAGAAAACCAAAAAATGTCAAATCTAGAACGCCTCTTTGACCTAAGAAAATTTATATTCCCTATTGTAAGCACATAAATTTAAAGTTCGAAGTACTTGTTGTATTGTTGATGAAGCTACAAAATGTTCAAGGTGTGCATGACTCCATTTAACTCCAAAATGTTTATTTTATGGCATAAAATTGAACCATAAAATTTTAGGAAATCCAACTTTTGTGGGTAAGCGCTTCCAAAAATGAAATTGTGAACACAAAAAGTAAAAAATAAAGAAACCAAGTATATAACAAAACATCAAGGTTTACGCAATTGCCTAAATACGTGCATACATCCATAGGAGATGGGACAAGGATTGATATACTATATAAAAAAAAAGTTACACAAGTGAACAAATAAATAGGATAAAATAAATTATTCTTCTCCAAACCTAAGTACACCTAATCTCATTAAAAAAAACAATCTCTCAATGCAAACAAATATGGAAAACCCTCAAATATCTTAAAGATATATCAGAATTACATAAGAGATCGTAAACAAAGTGATCTAAATCAGATCAAAAGGTCTACATCTAAATGATCCACAAGAAAGCCTTTTCTCTCTTTAGCTTTCTCCCTAATATATTTCTCAAAAGCAGATGACCATATATCCCTCAATCATATTGCAAATCTTTTTTTCCATTTTATATTTATAGGAGTTTAAAGTAAATTTTAAATCTAAATCATGTTCAAATTTAGATTTGAAGCTAATCAAAAATTTCATATGACGTAATGAAATGTTAACATCATCTTTCCCAATAACAATAGGATAATTTTGTTTTAATCCTAAAATCATTCATTTTATAATTTCACATTTATCATGCTAATATTATAGAGTCAATATCATAACACATTTCAAAACACTGCCAAAATGACCCATAATAATGAAATTTCCTTTGATTTGGTATAAATTTTTTTTATTTTAATCAGTTAATATCAGTTTGGTTTAACATTGCCTAACATAGCAAGGGGAGTTCTGCAAGTTAAGAGTCATAAGATTAACGATTTTTTAACTAATTTAGTTCAAATATGTTAAATCTCTTAATTGAATATTGTTGCAGTTCAAACCTCAAACCTATATCACATCAAATCAAATCATTTATGCAAAATATGAAACTATGAACTCAACCAAACAAAACCAAACCAATCAAACTTTCTGTATGGAAATTTTCCCATTAATATGGTTTTGCACTCCTATAAAAAAAGCACTTTTAACACAACTAGGAGCAAAATTTCATTCGAAAAGAACTCTCTCTGAAAGGAGCACAGTAAAACCTGAATTCCAATGAAGTAATTTAAAGTAACAGAATGCCATTAAAGGTAGTACCTTATTGGAGTTAGGGACAAGTTCCTGAAGATTCTTCATTCTTTCTGCAATTTTCTCTCTTCTAAGCTGCATAAGATTGGAACTAAACGTTGCATTAATCTACCATTAACAATGTAACACGTACAAAATAGTTAGAAATAAAACCATATATTCTAAATTTGTAGTTTACTAAATAAATAGATAGAAGTCATGGTTTAACCTTTGTGTAAATGTCAAAAAAAGAGGAATGCTTCAAATTAAGATAAAGAATTTTATACCGACCCTTTCAGCTATACTATGAGGGTCAGTAGCTTGACCTCGCCGTGCTCGCACTCTTGGCTTGGCAGTTACATTACAACAAACGGCATTGGATTGTGTCATGTGCTGATGACTGTTGGAGGAATGGCCCAACTGATGCTGAAGAGTAGTTCCTTCAGGCTGCAACAAACATATACAGATGTCATGTGATACATCTAATCAACACGTTCAAAAGACATAGGAGTTGGTTGCCCAACCATGTTCTTAAAATATATTTCTTCACACACTGCGGCTATTGTGCGCAAGCATGTCCAGTAACGAAGCACTTAAAAGGGCTTAAAACAAGAGTTAATTTGTCACAAATTTGCATGCATGCACACATGGTAGACAACCCATTGGTGCACACACAGAGAGTTCCAGTGGATAAGTAAACCCAAGAGATTCAAAACTGTGCAAAAAAAACAAAAAACATGCTAGAGAACAAAGATGCAGATAAAAATGTGTAAATACCTGGGGATTAGTATGCATCCCGGTTGTTTTACTGAATGACATTTGTGACCCGCCAGAAAAGGAAGGCAATTGAAGGCTCGTTGCTTCAGTTGTACCCTGCATAATCAAAGAAGAGTTAGTGAATTCAGTTGGGAAATCGATAGCCTGTTATTGAAAACTCCAAAGCACCAGATTATGAGGTGGTGAGTTTGCCCTGGTCATTTTCATATGTTGCCCGCTTGCAAAAGTAACCAAATTTGAACAAAGTTCATTTTGACTCTGCAATGTGAATGCATGGAAAGGTGGTCAGATAAATCTTTATTCAGTAACAGAGTCAAACCTAACTACTTTAAAATAAATAAATCCATATATGCAGGAATTCCCTATTCAAGTACTTACGTTCCTCAGTAAATCAACACCATTTGTAATGCCTTGAAAGCTGAAGTTTTCTACCTTTTGTTGTCCGCTTAAAGAAGAAATGCCTGAATATGATGGCCAGATCGTTGGAACTGAAGAGATGGAGTGTGCCTCTCCAATTGATCGCCCAAATGTCGGTGGTTCACTGCCACTGTTCTCCAGTGAGCTGGAAATGGTTAGTGCGCTATGGGGCAGTGAGGAATTTAATTCCAGACCATAAGTTATTCCTGTTGAGTTGCATGTAACTGTGTCAGGTATTGAGAACCTCCCTTCACTAGCCTCAATACAATGGGATGGTTGTGAGTTGTGGCTTGCTTGTTGACTCTGTGAAAGATTTTCCCCCAAATAAAGCCCTTTGCCGATGCCAAATTTCACACTTCCATCAGAAAAAAAAGATGATGTGTTTTCATGAGCTATAGATAAATCTTCCGCAGCTATAATGTGACCTGATGGAATTATTGGCATTGCTGATTTTTTTCCATCAGCTTGAAATGATTCCATAGAGTCAGCAAGCAGATTCTCTGTTTGAGAGGCAATTGTTCCTCCCCATGATCGGTTTGCAGATTCATTCACATCTGACCAGGATGATGACAGGAATGTGCTTAGAAAACTTTCCATGGCGTCTCGCTCTGGCATGATCCTGTATGGATTTGCTAAACTGAAAACATGATCCTGTAACTCCAATTGCTTCGCAAAGAAATTTCACTCAGGAAGAAGCAATCAATTGCTGAAATTTATAGCAATCATCCTGCACATAATGGATGAGGTAGAAAGGAGCAATAAGATCCTCTATTGCCAAGATTCTAGATATCTATGCAGAAATCAAATCATATTTGCTCTGCTCATATCAGGACAAAACTAATAACCAATTAGTTACATGATATATAGGTCAATATCTGCAAATTAACATTTTGGATTCTGAAGCCCAAGACAATTAAGTAAAAAAACAGCACTGAAATGAAAGTACATTTAATACATAATCAAATAAATTTGAAGTTTCAAAATTTAAAGAAATGCAATGGTGCAAACGTTTTCATGCACATTTAAATAAATAGAATTCCAATACGATGCAACTTCATGTGAATAGCTGCTATTAAACTAAAGAACCATCTAAGTGAATATTCACATTGCTAGCCAATAAGATACCGAAAAGAATTGTTATTCTATGGCTGAAAAAACAGACAATAAAACATTTTGATGCTGCAAGCGGAAGCATCAAAAATAAAACATTTTGGCTAGGGTTTCCAGCCATCATGTTGACAATGTCTAAGAATAGACGAACCTGGTATGCATGGAAAATTAAAGAGGTTGCAAGAAAAAAGGGATTGTGGAAGAGATAAATGAAAACCTAAGAGGACAAAGGCATGTCGAGGGAGAAGAAAAAGAATTATCATGGCTATGAGCAAGAGGAGGAACCAAATCACCGGGAGGGGAGCCACAAGAAACCCTTTCTTCTATACATCATAAATTCTTATTAATGAATTACAAGACAGTAGGCCTTATTTATAGAAACATACATTATTAAAAAATTATAAGAGCACTATTGAATAGAGAGAAAGTACTAAACCAATCCCAACTCAAATTTAGCATGGTAATAAGTTTGTAAGTCTTTATATGATATGAAAAGTTTGTTTTGTCTAATTAGTCTAGTTTTTGTGAGTTCATGTAAGTTTTTATTCTCTAGAAAGTTCTCTATTTTGTGATCAAAAATTTGGGTCCCTCTCCCAAATTTTTGATTACATCAGTAATAATTAACTTATATACAAATAAAAATGAATAAAAAACAAACTTATCACCAATGACTGAATGAACTTGCATTGCATCACATTCTCTTGTCCATTTTCCTTCCTCTTCCAATACCCTCATTCCTCTTCTCCTTCCACCACTTTCCGATCTTCTTCCACCTCATCAGCATGATCTACTAACCTGGGTTGTTTCTTTGGCTTTCCTATCAGCCATTTCCTCCAACTTCCACCTTGCCTTTAATCGATTATTTTTCCTTTCTATTCCTATGCTCTCTTCTCTCCAAACATCCATCAACTCCTCTTTAAATATCAACATCACTGACATTTCATTGTCCAAAATTTTTTGGTCTTTTTCCCTAGCTTCGATAACACTGAATGAGATTTGGTGGATTAGATCACTCTTCAAGAACGCACTAGTAATTACAGGGACAGCTAAATAGAAAGGGAGCTCCAATAGTATTGGCTCATGCTGTATGTATGAAATGCAATGATTTGTCACACAAGAGCTTGAGCAAACTTTTTGAGGATTAATTCCTTCATGTGAATATGCTGAGGGTCGATTTCCACATGCTTAGCTTATAGTCTGGTTTGTGCAACTACCTACTGTATGTTTAGGTAGCTCTAGGACATCAGTTAAATATATTTGGTCTAATTGTATGGTATTGTATTTGAAAGAAGTGAAAGTTTCTTTCGCACCACAAAAAACCCCAATGAAACACTAGAAATTTCAACTTTGTAAAATCATATAAAAGATTTGAAACTTCAACAACAACAACAACAACATCAAGCCTTTATCCCACTGCAGGGTCGGCTACATGAATCCTTTTTTCTCCATTGTGCCTTGTTAAAAGTTAAATTCTCATTCAAATCTAATAACGAAAGGGGCATGTCTAATATTTTCTAACCAAGTCTTTTTAGGTCTACCTCTACCCTTCTTAACATAAGTCAAATCCAATAAATCTACTTTACTAACTGGGTCATCGGAAGACCATCGTTTTATGTGACCAAACCATCTAAGGGGACTCTCTCTAATCTTATCTTCCACTAGAGCTACTCCAACTTTTTCATGTATATGCTCATTTCGTATCCTGTTTCTAAAAATAAAGCCACTCATCCACCTGAGCATCCTCATCTCTGCAACACTTAACTTAATATTATGCTTCTCTTTTAATTGTCAACATTCTGCACCATAAAGCATTGTAGGTCTAACCACCATTTATAGAATTTTCTCTTAAGGAATGTTACTAAGGCCTCAATAAGTGATCTTTTGGTGTGTAGCTTATGAAACAAATTAGTTATTACTCTCATAAAGATAGATGAGCTGCCACACCAGATGTTCTGCAGAGTGAAAATTGCTAAAACTTCACTTGGTAATAAATTGATGCGCGTGTTATACAAAAAAAACTTGTTTCTATTCTCAAAAAGATGGATAGCTGCTCTGCAAGTATGTTATCATTTGTCTGAAACCATGGAGGGGTTAGCTTGTATGGGTTAGGTTGATGACATTAATGATGCAGGGTACAACTGAGGCGATGAGCCTTCAATTGCCATAATGATGCTTTTGTTGGAACTCCTGACCTTTCAAATGTGAGTTTCTAACAAAAACCAAAGTTGATCTTTTGTTGGAAATGTTAGAAATAGTGTACGGATGATGCACTGACATCCAGGTCCGACTCTCATATCATATGACATAACAAAAAACCTAATATTAGGCATAGTGTATAGAAATTGAATAACCATAATGATGTTTTGTTGGAAATCTTGACCTTTCCAAGTGAGTTTCTAACAAAAATCAAAACTAATCGTGAATAGCTTTTTGAAAAGCTGCAAGAATATTTACATAATGAAGTCCAAATCACAAATCCCATAGGGCAATAAACTAGAACATTTTTTAATTCATTTTTACCAATACTTCTGATCAACAAAAAAAGACAAAAATAAGAAAGCACATCAAAACTACACTCCAAGTCACCAATCAAATCAATGTGCAAACATGCTTATCAATTGCAATTTTGTCCCAACAAAAAAACAAAAAACATGCTAGTTGAGCATAGCTATTACATATTGAACTATAAGGTTGTAGAATTTCACCAAGAATGAAAGGAAAGCCATGTAGATAAAAATAATCCTTCCTAGGCATTCACCAAATATATTCTAACCACAATTCCAAAGAATATTTTTCTTCTGTACTTGATAGAAAAATTGTTTAAAACAAGTTTCCTTGAAAAACGTCCAGCATATATTTAAGGAACATATTCTATTTTCAATATAATAAAACTCTGCTTCATTAAAAGTTAAGATCAAATAATGTCCATCACATATTACATAAAAGATAACAAAGCTATATGAGCCTCCGGTGGCTGGGAGGAGTTATAATACATAATTAACTTAAACAGCCTATGCTGAGCAAAATCATTATTACATGCTAACAAAAGCATCATTATGGTTATAAAATGTTTTCTTTATATATATATATATATATATATATATATATTCAAAATGTTTTCATTTGTAGTGTATATAAACTCCAACGAGGTTTTGAAATGTAGGTGTCCTTTTGGATAGGTTTGCTAATGGAACTCTGACTAAATCATAAAACAGAAAGCTTGTTACAGCATGGAGATGTTGCAATAATGCTAAGAGAACTGAAAGTCCAAAGAGTTGTTAATGTAGGGGACCTTTTGACAACTTAATTGAAATGCTTAAAAGAACCTTAAAATAGTCATAAATAGAACTTTCACGCGACAGGCTAGGCATGAAATATCTGATTAAGCAACCATTTTTTTATCTCTTTTAAAAAAGAGCCGGAAAGGCGTGCAGAACAGCACAAACAATAATATTCTGCACAAGCAATAATAAGAATCTGTCAACTATCATGCAGATTCAGTGATCTATAGATTTTACTTAGTTGGCCAAGAAATAGGGTAAATCACAAGACAATTGAATTCTTTGTCATTCACGACGAGTTTATCAAATTCAAAGAAAGGAAACATCTTTCCAAGATATACTGATGTATTTAGATATTAAGTTAAATCAGAACAAAACAAGGTCTTCCAAAATGCCTGTCTGCAATACGTGTAAGTGGGTAATCATCATGTCCTCAAACATGTAAAGAGGCCTTCCAAAATTCGTGGAAGTGTTAACAAAGTAAAACAACTAAATTATTAGTCATCGTCATCTCCTTTATACAATTCTAAAGGTAATTAATACAACTTTGAAATAGTCATTTTCAACATGATTTTTCTTCTTTTGGTCTCTAGATATGCATATCTAGGTGTTTTCAGGACATAATAATATTCATTATTTCCCTTGATGTTGATTTATTAGATATTTAAGATAACCCCAATATCTAAATTTGTGCTTAATTGGTTAGATAGTGCTGTTAAGCCAGACAAAATGAACTCAATCTAAATTCTCAAGAATAAAGTAAAAACATCTGGGAAATGTCAAAGTCATATTTAAGAGTTGACCAGCCAAGCATGAATTAGATATCTGAACTTTGTTAGAATGCTCGGACTTTTTTTTAGAAATAAATTGGGAAAAGCCTAAACGCTTCTTATTTTTGACTGAATGAGACAAATATTACTGTTCGTTGTTTCTAACAGTACAATTAAAATGTAATCATCAGGCTTAAAATTAAAAATAAATAATGATTCTCATGTACATTCAGGACCAAACAAAATCTACAAAAACAAAATAATTGTCTTCTTGATTTACATAACTGAAGCGAATATTCCATGTTTCAAGTTCCTCGTATCAACAAAACAATAGAAACTCAAAGAATTCCAACCACCTACCCAATACACTTTCCACACACAAAAAAACCCAGAAGCTAAAAAGATCAATTTAAAAGAAAGCATTTGAAACACAACCATTCAGACTACCAAGATCCAATCCAAACCAGAATTTCAAACAATCAAGTATACATGCAACAATCAAAATCACAGTTTCTTACCTTCCACAATCAAAGCCGCACTGGATAAACAAATTCTCAATAACAACGTAGAGAACATAAATCAGCCAGCATAGCTAGAAAAAACATAACATCCCACTCCGACGACTAAAAACAAAGCAAACCCACACGACCCAAACGCCATCAGAAACTAAAGCTATAAATATCAAATGCCAAATCAAAATAAACCCACTAAGTGGCAGTTTGGATGCAGGATTTAGGCCGGATTTGAAGTGGATTTGAGCTAAATCCAGCCAAACGTCCAAAAATGTAAAACCAAATCTCACGGTAAATCAAAGCCGCCGTTGACGGAAAATTCCCTCTTTTCGTGGTAAATCCCGGATTAACGAAATCCTTTGGAAAGGGAGACAGTTACCTTCACAGCAAGCGAGCTCCCGTTGTTGTTGCTTCCGATCAAAAAATGTCGTAACTTCCGATCCAACAGGAAGGGAACGTCGTCGAAGGAGCAAAGTCGAACAGCGACGAAGAAGAACTCCGGCAAAACTCTACACTCATGCGAAGGAAAGAAGCCGAACGAAATAGAGAAGGGAAAAGCAAAACCTGGGCTCTAAATTATTGTTGGATAACTTAATTAATATAATTGAAAAGCTCCACATCCTACCGACCCCTCACACACTGCACAATCCCCCACTCCACCCCCAAAAAAGTGAAAAAATAAGAAGAAATTAAGAGATTTAAATGAAACAAAAGCTCTAGAAGTGCTTACTGACACCAGAACAAGTTTAAAGCAGCGAAGATGCAGACCTTAAGAAAACCCTACCCCAACAATTCGCAAACCCTAGAAAAAAAAATTTAAGTAAGCATATGGGAGAGAAATAGCTGATACTCATAGAAGCAGAGGCCGCCAGGAGAATACAGCTTTGGAGCAAAAGTACAAATGAGGAGTTAGAAAATGGGGCAAAGAGACCGGCTCAGAGAGAAAGACAGATTGTTCACCTCGATCCATAAAAACGTAAACAAAAAGAGGAGAACTAGCAAGATTGCTCACCTCGATCCAAAAATCGCAAGCCCTGAAAGTAGCGACCAAAACCCTAGCGCTCGACTCGATATTTATTGGCTGCTCTAATGCAGGGAGCACAGGATAATGCATGATTTTTTTAACAAAGGATTTGATAATTTAATGATTCATTCCCCCAAATAGATGAGAACACTAAAAAAAAAAAGATGCAGGCGGACGAGGACGACGTACCAGAGCAGAGAAGCCGAAGAAAACGGAGTCGCCTCCTGCGAGTGAGCAAGCGGAGCTTCGAGACAAACGACGAGCAGCGATTGCCGAGCGCACGAGGGTATTCGAGCGTGACGATACTCACAACGGCAGATTCGATCGTAGAGGGGAGAACCGCCGGCACGGGCTGAGTCTTCGGCAGAAGAGGGCGGGAATACGCCAGAAATATCGGCTGGGGCAGTTAAGCTGGAGCTGCAAATTACTAAATAGCCCCAAGTTTAATAAGTATAATTTTTTTTTTTACGGGTGCAATTGCCCCTTGGCTGGGAATTTTTATTGCGTCCTCCCACCTGACTTAGAGATACGTCTTCTTAGAATTAAATTTGCGCTAAAAAATGAGAAATACCGAGCAAATACCGAGCAATACCAAACAATAACGAGGAATATCATTATGTGAAGATCAATACCGAGTTATACCGAGCAATACAAAAAAATACCTAGTTTTTCCTAGGAAAAACTAGGTATTTTTTGTATTGCTCGGTACAGCTCGGTATAACTCGGTATTGGTTTTCACATGATGATATTCCTCGTTATTATCAAATAATACCTAGCAAAAACCGAGTTTTTTGGCGGTGGGAGGACGTATCTCTATGTCAAGTGGGAGGACGCAATAAAAATTCCTTGGCTGGAGCAATTATTATGTGCGGACACCCGACGGGAGAACCGTCCAGTTAAGCGTTTGGTAAGGAGTTGTATAGATCAAGGGTATCGAGCTCGGTATCGAGCGCGGTACGTTTTTGGGTGACGTGGTGCATTTTTATTAGTTTCCGAACTCCGCACAAAATAATACATCCCTTGGCTGACCGTGATTATGCCCGTGATGCTGGAGAGATGACTTTTTGCGGACACCGGACACAGCTTACTGTCCAGAGATGGATCAAGTGCAGCCACCTCATCCAATACCGAGCAGTACCGAGCCGCGGAACCGAGTAAAGGGTGACGTGGTGCATTTTCATTGGGCTCTAAACGACGTTCGGTTTCCGCACATAATAATTCATCCTGATGCTGAGGAATACAATAATCACTTGTTTTTTTTATGGAGTCCTTTATCTGTATGACTTAATAGAATGTCTCTCTTAAGTTTCATTTGGGACGGCTTTTTATTGCTTCTGAAAATAGCGTTTTAGTACAAAAATTAAAAAATTTGTACTATAACTCCGTTTTAAAAAGCAATAAAAAAGCCGTCACAAACGAAGCCTTAGTGGCATCTTCTTAAGGCTTCATGCCACCCTCTTACAAGTTTTACATCATATCTGCGTGTCATTATCTCCTCCATTTGAAAAGAAAGAAATAATAGATGGCACAACTCATTCTATACAGATCCCGAAGGACTTGAGATCCACATTAAGTGTTTGATTAGACAAAAAAATAGGCAATTGGAAAGGCTCCAAAAGATGGGATGCTGAATTTGAGAATTTTATTGTGGAATGGTTGAGATATTGAGGGAACCTTTCTATCCTCTTAGGATTTATTATTTATAATATTGGTTGCTATAGTCTTTAAAAAAAAAAATGGAGATGTCTAACAAAATGAGCCGGCCAGAAAAATATGAGTTAGAGTTGACCGATTTAATGAAAGGGTCAGATTCAGGTTAATCTGTCAATCTGATTTTGATCCGAAAGTGACACATTTAATAATTTTTTTCTCTTAATATTTTTGTTGGTATGGTCATCTTATTTTTCATCAATTAATCTAAAATCTTTGTTTAACTATTTATAATTTTTTAATCAAAATGAGTTATCTAGTCGGCTTATTTGGGTTACTAGCGGGTTGGGCTCAAGTCACCTTTCTAGTCATTTTTTTTTAATGGGACGGTTTCATGTTAACTAGATGCTGGTTATTTCATACTTGAACCAGACTTGTTAACCCGTTTTAACACCTCTACTTTTTCAATAAGTACTTTATGCTTTTAAATTTCTCTTTAACTCACTTTCCTATTAGTTTCATAAATTTTATTCATAATTAATACCCACCTAAATTTTAATTAATAACCATATTGACATTTTCTTTATTAATTTCTTAAAATTTTCTTATAATATTACAATTGTCTAATATATATTACTATTAGTATCTCTCACAAAATTTGTTCAACAAAAAAGGAAAATTCTATCTATTCTATCATAATCAAATCATATTTACATTATTACATAAAAACCTCTCTATCTGTAATTTTTAAATTATTTATGACCTTATCATAATTTGTAGTTTTATGCATAACAACCATTCACACATAAGAAAATCATTATGTTAGCTTCATTATTAGAATGAAGACAATTTTAAACACAAACATATGGCGACTACTCTATGCTCTTATACCTAAATTAAGAAACAGTCAATTAAATAAAAAATTTCAAGACTACTATCCTTCCTATTTTAGGGGGCCACTGCAACAATTGGCTTCAGGAGGAGTAATTATTTCTTCAGGTTACCGAATGCATCCATAAACCAATAACAAACGCCACGTCACTAAAGTGCTCGGTACCGTGCTCGGTACACTCAGTATGCTCGGTATTGCTCGATATTTTCACCGGATGTAATAATTTTTCCTTCAAGAGAGGAAGGAGAATCTATAACAATTGATATTAATGAAATAATAAAATAATAAAGGACACGGCTCGTTTTTATTTAGGCTTCATTTGGCACAGCTTTCTTACCGCTTCTTAAAGCAGCTAATTTTTAGTACAAAAATTTTAATTTTTTTATTGAAAAACTGCTTTATTAAGCAATAAAAAAAAAAGTCTTTCCTAACGAAGCCTTATTGATTGAGAGTTTTAGCTACCAACTGAGATGTCTTAGATTTGAATTTTGCATGTGTGTTATGTGTGTGAATTTGTTTTAATTGACTCAAAGACCAATAATAATAATAATAAAGTTATTGTATTATATATTGACTCTTCCAATAAAAAGAAAAAAAAATTATATATGGACTTAGAAATTTTATATTTATTTTTTATATTGATGAGATATGTGAAGAAATTTATATAGCACTAATCTTAAAGTAAATCTTGTAACTTTTAAATCCATCCTAATATACTAACATAATTTTTTTTAAGAATATAAATGTCAACTATGGAAGATGTAATAATATTATTAATATATAAATAAATATATATTTTTATACATATAATCCCATAAAAATTAAAATTATATACAGCAATGGTATGAGCAGGTGTGTGTTTCTTTATCCATAACTTGTTTCAATGTAATTATTCCAGTAGTTATTGAATAATTTCAAATTTGCTTGAACAACAAATGAATGATCACAATTGTCATACAACAACAACATCAAGCCTTTGTCCCACTACGTGAAGTAAGCTACATGGATCCTTTTTTCTCCATTGTGTTCTATTAAAAGTCAAATTCTCATTTAAATATAATAAAAAAAATATCATTTCTAATATTTTCTAACCAAGTCTTTTTAGGTCAATCTCTACCATTCTTAATATAAATCAAAGCTAATACATCTACTTTCCTAATCGGGTCATCGATAGGCCGTCATTTTATGTGACCAAACCATCTAATGATCACAATTGCCATAATGAAAATAATTGCAAGTGATCGCAAGTGGTTGAATGGAAATAAGTTGAATTAAGGTTTTTTAAGATTTTATTTGGGATAGTTTTTTACTACTTTATGAAGCATCTGTCTAGTTAAAAATTTTCAAATTCAAAAGAATTTTGTACAAAAAAATTGCTTCATAAAGCAGTAAGAAACCCGTCCCAAACTTATTAAAGCAGTTTTTTAGTAAAAAAATAAAATTGTTATACTAGAAAGCTCAGTAAAAAAGCCCTCCCAAACAAAGCCTAAGTCTAAGAATATCTATCATTTCTAGTGATTATTTAATTTATCTATGAGTATATATAAATTGACTTAGGAATGAATGAAGATTAAGTTTTATTTTCACAGGCCATAAAAAAGTGTAGGTACTAATAAGATGTTAGACTTTACGAAAAAGGGTTGAAATTCATGGACCATAATAATATGGATGATTTATTTGAATAGCTTGAACGTTGAAAGATGGTCGATTACAACAATATCAAAGGATATAAAACTAACTTATTTTCAAGGGTTTTGCTAAAATGGAAGTGTTGACTCCAAAGATATATTTATCCTATTTAAAAATATATTGTTTAGAATTATATTGGTAATGACAACTTATCATGAGTTAGAGTTGCATTAGATTGATGTGAAAATCACCTTCTTTTTTTTTTTTAATGAGAGTTTGTTGGATCTAAATTTATTAGTGGACGACACTTGAACTTACTAACAGCTTTTGCTAGCAGCAAGAGAACCTAAGGAGAAAATCAGTGAATATGGGGAACATGTAAGGAAATTAAGTAATCTCTATGAACAATAAAAATGGCATGTGGAATTGAATATGCTCACCCCTTATTTATAAAGTTAGGATGGTTATGTAAGAAGCTATACTAAAAAGAAAATACGAGATCAGCCGCAGTTCACATAGCAAGACAAGATCAAAGCCAATTAATTATACAGATAGCAGCCATCCAGAATTCCAGATCTTAGCCGTATATTTGTATAGACCGTAGCCTTCCACGTGTATACATTGTTAGCCAAGTATTTACAACTGTCAAGATAAATATCAACCACATGATTAGTATAGGAAAACTATAAGTACATGTACACATGACATTGAGAAATCAATAAAAGTTTTCTCTCCACTTATCTTCGTCACTTGTTTCTTATTTTCTTCATGGTATCAGAGCAATTGTTCAGCAAAGACTAAAGCGATTCAAAGAAAGGTAAGAAAACTCAAACTTCAATGGCTCAATCCGCATCATCCCAAGTGGGAGATCCATCATCAGATTTCTCAACCAGTACCTGCATGATACCTGCATCCTTAAAATTTGTCATAGCAAACATCAAAATCATTGTACCTACCCAACTATCTAATGAAAACTACTCCATATGGAGATCCCAACTTTTCAACCTTCTCAGAGCAAATGAATTTGCAAATTTTATAGACCCAAATGTATCCCCACCCTCCCGTCTTCAACAAACCTCTGATGGTCAAACAACAACCAATCGTAAATACATCGAATGGATTTTGATTGATCAGAATCTTGTCGCAGCTCTCTGTTCCACCATAACTCCAGCCATTCTACCCTATGTACTACATTTAGATTCATCTGCTACCTTTGGA